AGGATCAGCCAGCTTCCAAAAGCACGCCAATTGGCACGCAGGAAACCTTGCACCATCTGCTTCTAGGATGTCCAGGCACCTTGGCTGTGCGCCAACGGCTGAGCATTGAGCAGGACCTCCGTCACGGAAAGTTCTCTCAATGGCAGTTGCTTCATAGCAGGAAACTTTTGTCGTTGCTCGACCACCTCATCGGCACCCAGATGGCATTGTATAGCTAGACGCGTTGGTGAGAGTAAAAAAAAAAAAAAGACACGACCGCGCAATATGCCGTCTGCGGGGCTGTCCGCAGAACGCACGTATGCAAAGGATGCCTGTATTCCGCGAGAGTCCCAAAACTCATGTATCCGTTGCAGCTCCCACGTCATGGCGTGCGATTTCGAGCTGCCTTTATTCGCCGCTCCTTGAAACAGTGTTTTTCACCCAAACGTCCATGGTGGATGGCAAGATGGCGGACAAGGCCGATAAGGCTAGGCGTACCGCGCGTGCCTCGGCCTGCATGATAGAAAGGGCTTCTTCCCGCACCTTCCCCCGGCAATTTTAACGTCGCCTGATTGTGTAATAAAAACGGCTCACCATCCATGGAGCAACACATCCCTGGTGATGGCGGCCGATGCCTTTTACGTGGGCTTGTTGTTTCGCTTACGATTATTCTCGATCATTTGTCGCAATCTCTCGCCCAAAACAGCCACTGACGGCGGAAGATTCGCCGGGGATGTCTCCTGCACAATCCCCCGGTTAATTGCGAATAATCGTCGTCGCACTGCCTTGATGAAAACGTAGTTGTCATATAAACGCGTGCACAAAATGGCAGCCGCATACCAAAAGCGTGACGCCATAACCTCCATTTCCGCGATGTTTGAAGAATTGAGCGCCGGCATGTCGCATGCAGACCGGACAAACTTGTCACTCAAGAATACCGCACGCCGAGTGTGATCAAACAGCACCCCAAGGAAAGTGTACTGCGTGGCGCCCGATTCGCGGTCCTCCCCCATGGATGCGTGACAGCCGGCCGCATTACGAAGTACTTGGGCTTCCCACAATGTCGCATCGCTTTTAGACACTGCAATGCGTATATTATCGATCCATACATCGACACGCACCAATGGAGGTGCAGCCCAGAGGCGGTGAGCCACCGTCGTCACCACCGCAATGGCCGAAGTAAGAATGATCTGGAGAATTTCTGGGCTGGCCTTGTGTCCCATTGGGAGCCGTGCCGGCCCCACCAGCGTGCCGTCCTCCACGCGGCATCGAAAGAGATGCCGAGTCTCCCGCGGTAAAGAGACTTTAAAAAAGGATGCCTTTAAATCCAGGCAGGAAGCGGCCCCAGCCATCACAGGCGGCAAATAATGGGAAATGTGTAAAAGAGGGCACAATAGCCTCATAACAATCGTCTCTGTTCTTGTCGCGTGGCCACGCGGTCCATCGTCGTCGTAAACCGGCGGTTTTTTCCTCCACAACCGAGAAAGGTACTGTCCATCCGCCTTTTATTGTGGACAAAGCGTCCTCGATTATTCCTGCTTTTCGTAAAAAACGCGCGTCAGCGGTTTGAATCCTCCGCGAGTTTTGCGCGCTTTACCGGAGGAGGACGGAGGGAAAGGGGACCGCCCGACGAGTCCCCAAACTCGCATGAGTCTCTCCAAGGTGGCCGGGTTCAACCGGCTCTTGATCCACTCTGGATTCAATACGGGCACGTTGACCTGCTGTAACGGGATAGCGTGTTCATCTTGTGGAGTGGCCAGACGCGTCATTGTCGCGCGTCTTGTGATTGTGGCGGGTGATAATAAAAACCACGGAAAAAACGCTCCTCTACTGTCGGCCAGGGTTCCTGCCCTTCCGCAGTTTCTCCCTTCACATCAATGCGACCAGCGACGACACCTGGGTCAGCATTGTGGTGTACCACCCCAGGTATCGAACAGTATTCTGGGGAAGGTCGAACGGATTGACGTGCTTCGCCAACTGCGAGATCACGTGTGGCTTCAAATTGTTCGCCTCCACGATTTGAGCAGTGTGCCGCAACGCACCCCGTTTTGTGGAATGCGCCGTGGCGTACCAAGGAGCCGGGGCTCTTTCGACGTGGGCAGTCGTAATATTCGTGAGCTTTTCGTTGTGTTGAAGTGCCCTGCATAGCTTTATAGTGCCGAAGGCGTCCTGCCCTCGTATCCTCACGAACCGCGAGGCGCGGTGGGTATCCGCCCTCGCCGTCTTCGGCGCCACGGACCAATCCAAAATTAAGGTCCCGTCCGGCTCCAGTGTAAAATTGTTGGGGGTTAAGGCCGCAATCTCGGAACAACGACTCGCCGTTATCCACGCAAGTCGAAAAACAACACGTTGCTTCCAATCGGTTCGGCTGCGGATAACTTGATTCATCTCTTCCTCTGTCAAGGGCCGCGCCTGCCTCGTCTCCGAGCGCGCCGCAATATTTCGTAGCCCCAGAATCGTCATGCCCAGCGGGGTTCGATTCATTTCCAACATGGACCGCAGCATCCTGGCGTACTGCGGTCGAGTCGGTGGCGCCAATTCGATTGCCAACAAAAAGGCCGCGCAGCTCTCCTCGTTCATCGGCTGTTCGTGCGTGCAGCAAAAGGTTGTGAATTGCCCCGCTAGGGACATTATCTGCTCCCACGTTGACGGCGCCCACATCTCTCGAGCGACCTCGTTCGCTCTCCTCATGTGGCTGGCCCAAAGCGGGGATGTCGGTGTTTCGTCGTACCACAGTCGAGCGTCCTTGGCGGATAAGCTCCGTTGCCCTTCTCGACGATTGCGTCGGGCAATTTGTAATATCGGATGCAGCGCCGGCGGTGCGGTGCGACGAATGTGCGTAATAGTGGGAGGTGGTGGAATGGATGGGGCTGCCGTCGTCCGCTTTCATAAGAAACAGCAAGCAGCCCCTCTGCCGTTTCTTGACGGCCGTCCGCGCTGCGAGTAACTTCCTCCAGTTGCGTGTCGGACGTTGCTTTTAGATGTGTCGTGTCCACAAACACGACACGACTGGCATCGCACCGGGCGTTGCGTCCCTCGCCGTTCCGCGGGAGGCTGAGTTGCCCTCGAAAAGGTGTCAGCCTCATGAACGGCGGCGAAAAGACGGGCGCGCAGTTTGGAGAGCGGGATGCCGGGATCGGATGCCGTCATGAGCCGCACCAGGTATGCCTGCAGTAAGATCCTTCCCAAATTCATGAAGCGATCGGCGGGGATCCCGCTCCGCTTCCAGCGCACCGATCCACGCAATCGACACTCGAAGGGAAGTTGAGCCTGGTCGTCCGCCCGTTTCCAATAATTGTATGCGCCCCGGAGGTCTAAAAAGACTCCGGAAACGCCCCCATTCCATATACGCGGGGCCCAAGTGGTGACGTCGAATGCGCGGAAACTTCGTTCCTCTACTTCTGCACCGAAATTTGCCTCCAATAGAAGTGCTGGAGGCCAAAGGCATCGAGGGATGGAAATGTGGCCACCAAAATTGCTCTGAGACAACTGGGGAATAGCCTGCCGTCTCTCGCTCGCCGGCCAAACTTCGTCGGGCCGTGCGTAACAGCGCGCCCAAGGTCATCAAGCAATGCTTTTAATGTGGCTGTTTGGTAACGCCATCTTCGGCCTTATTGCGACACGTGACAGGTCCATCTGTCGGACCTCTCCGAGAGGTGGGGACTTCTTCCCGGCCTGCCGTCTCCGCCTCCCACGCGGCTTGCTGCGCCTCTCTAGCACTAACGCGTGCCTCTCGTTCCTGTAGTTGGGCATTAGCTGTCTCCAACTGCTGTTCGCGTCCGGCAAGCGCGCATTCTCGTTCGGCAAGAAGGCCATCGGTTAACGCAATTTTAGATTTGCACACCGATAGGTTGTCATGCGCCTCTTCCACCCGCGAATGAAGCTGAGCGCCTCGATTCTGCACGTCCGCGATGGCACGGGCGTATTCCGTTCTAAAAAGCCCTTCACTTCAGAAGTGATGTGCCCTTGCTTGCCCCCAACTCCCGGGCCGCACCCACACGATGGGCGGGAGCAATTGAGTCTCGAAATTTGGTACTCGAGGCGCCCGGGGATTCGCAACATGTCCTGTAAAGCTCGAATCCTCCCAGGGTTTGGCGATGTTTCCCGAAATCCATGCGTAAGCCTGTCATCGGGGTGGCCGCAGTTAACGTCGCATCCGACGGGCAGTTTTCATCAATAAAGGCGAGCTGCACCTGGACAGCGCCATTTTGGCGTACCGAGTCCGGAAGACGGGCAACGATATCGCTCCACTCGGAGGCCGTGTAAAAGGAAAGCAATGCCATTTCCTTAAACCAACCTCGCTGTGTCTGTAAACTTAAAAATAAAAATAAAAAATTATCCGGCCGCTATCGGTTCCCAAATCCCCTAAAGTCGTGGCCTTCAAAAAATTCGAAGGACAGAAAAGTGTCATACAGAAGTGCATTCGTTTTACCCGGATACATATATGCATTAATTAATTTCGCCAGCTCTCCCGCGATCAATCTTTTCAAAAACTCCTAAAGAAATGGGTACCAGATGCGGCTTTTTCCCCTAAAAACATTAAATTTTTTTGGGAGAATGGCCGGGACGGTTTTGTTTATTGTGTGGCGCTATGCGGTGAAGTTTTCCGTGGAAGTTAGAGTTTTGCTCATTGAGTGTTCACGCGTGCATGAATTCGTTTTCTGTAGCATTTTTTTGGCGCAAACTTGGAATGGGAGGACTCACTATATGGCCATTGCTGTCTGGTGTGTTTATTCAAGGTTTATTAGTTCGCTCTTTTTTTTTTTTTTTTTTTTTGGTCTTTAATTGGAGAACCTTCTGATTGAAAAACCTTAGCATAAGTTGCTTTATTTTATTTTTGCGGGACTTTGTCTTTTGTTTGTTGGACTTGGTTTTTGATGTTCATGTTCTTTGAGGCAAATTGAGTCATAGGGATCAGATTATTTATACAATAACGCTTTTATTTTTACATATAGGCGCCAATTCTTAAATACTCATAATGTACTTCTGTGTATAGGTTTCTTCCTATAAACTAGAAAATTATGGTATTCTTTTTTCCATCTTTTTTTTTTCATAACCATGATAGAGAATTATCTTGCGGAAAGGTATCCAAAGCATTTATTTATATTAAGAAGATTCATAAAATGCGACGTGTCTCTTCTTTGAAGGAATATAACTCTTTAAAGGAGGAGGCAGGGAACGGATTGGGTCTTGTGGTGCACTTCAGTGCTTCTTGGTGTGAACCCTGCAAGAATGTCGGGAGTATGTTGGAGGGATATTTATCGCAGTATAACCAAAAAGTCCTTTTTGCCGAGGTGGATGCGGACCTTGTAACCAATGTTTGTGAAGCTGAGAATGTGGAATGTGTTCCATTTATCGTCTTTTTCAGAACCTCTTCAAGAGAAAGAGCCCAAGAGCGAGTTGCGGATGTGGTTGGTGGCAAACTTGATCATTTGGAAATGAACCTGGTTTCTTTGTATGGAAATGGCCATGATACTCGAGAATCGTTCCCTGATCTGAATGAGTATCTAAAGTACCTCACGTCTCGCAAAGGGGTTGTTGCCTTTATTACTGGCACCCCCTCAAGGCCCCGGTGCGGATTTACAGGGAGACTTGTCGAAATTTTTTATGAACTTGGGATAAAATTTATTTACTACGATGTTTGGGCGAGCGACGAAGTTTGTGAAGGGCTTAAGAAATACTCGGAATGGCCAACATATCCACAGGTTTATGTTGATGGTGAGCTTATCGGAGGATATGATATATGCTCACAGCTAAAGGAATCCGGTGAGCTGAAGGCTATATTGAAGCATTAGTCTTGTTTTGATTTGTTTTTCACATTTTCCGTGTTTTTTTGTTTTTTACATGGGGCTTGATTTTCCATTTGCTGTTCTTCCTACTTACCAGAGTTATATTGCTGCGTTTTTTGCTGCTATGGATCGCGTTATTTGGATTAATTTTATTGCATACGCTCTTCTCTCCTTTTTTTTTTTTGCTGTAGATCTCTCCAGAAAAGATGTCTTATTTGTACACAATGTCTCGGCTTTCATTGGTTTATGTATTTGTTTTTTGTCTCATTTACTCCCTATATGGTTGGAGTAATTGAGGTAGATCCTTCAAAGCATAACTAGGCGAAAAGTCTCTCTTTTTTTTTTTTTTTCCTTTGTTCGAGCGAAGTAGGAGAGTATTTGTCGTCTTATATCTGTCCGCGATTTTTTTTTTTTTTTTTTTTGCCATTGATGGTGGCAAAATCGGAATGGATCTTATGGGCCTTTTTTGTCTTTGCATGCATAAGTAAATGTGAATACTGGGACTTTTTGTTTTATTTTTTGGTGGAATATTTTTTTTTAACCGCTTGGGAATTGATTTTCCTGTTATGATAGGGTTTTACGTGGCTGGGAAGATTGTTCAAGGGTGTTGGGCATTTCAGTGGAGGCGGCTCTTGCGATCAGATTCTCACTCTAGTGTTGCTCCATTCATGGATCATGAGTGGTGTGAGAGAATGCTTTTTGTTTGTATTAGACAACGCTTCTTTTTTCTTACATGATTGAGTCCGACTTATTCAGAGGAGGGAAATAAGAATGGTAAAACGTGTTTTTAGAAACACGGAGACTTATTACTAGTATTTTTAATTTAATTTATTTTTAGTTTCTAGTTTAATTTGTATTTTTCTCCCTTTTATTTATTTTTGTGTGCTTCACTGGGCCAAAATTTTTTTGGCCTTCCCGCTAATAATTAGGGTAAATAAAAAAGAGGGGATCTACAATTCCCTCTGGTAATATTGCGCTTTTTTCTCGATATATATATATTGTGTTTTTAATCTCTCATTCTTTATTATATATCCCAGGAGATTTTACACTTGGAGTAAGAATAGAATCATGTTTGGTTTGGGAATGAAGAACATGACAGGCTCTGTGAGGAGTTTTGTGAGGGATTTGGTGAAGAGGATTCAAGAAACTCCGCTTTTTTTTTGGATATACATAACAGTATTAGTCTATGCGGTTCGTAGGCTTACATACCACCACGGCTATGGTAAGAAGAAAATTACTGTAGGGGGCCAGACTGTGTACGTGGATCGTGCGGAAGAGACGATTTCTGAAAGTGTTATAGATACTACCAAGATTTGCGAGGGGTTTTCCGATATTGGGGGTCTGGAGGAAGTTAAGTCGTTATTAATTGAGCATGTGAAATGGCCATTTACGCGTCCAGATTTGTTTTCTGGGAAAACGCTAAGATCGCATCCCAAAGGCGTTTTGCTTTATGGCCCTCCTGGAACAGGAAAAACACTTCTGGCACGTGCCCTCGCGAAGGAACTTGGTTGCAGTTTTATAAATGTGAAAACTGAGTCTCTTTTTTCAAAGTGGGTTGGTGACACTGAAAAAAATGCTTCTGCTGTTTTTTCCCTTGCGGAAAAAATTTCGCCCTGTATTATTTTTATTGACGAGATTGACGCTCTTCTTGGATCCAGAAACATTATTGATTCTGCTCCTCACAACCACGCCAAGACAATATTTATGACTCGTTGGGATGGAATTACTCAAAGTACCGCCAAAATTATCGTTGTTGGGGCAACAAACCGACCTAAGTATATTGATGAAGCGATACGGCGCCGGTTACCTCTTCAAATAGAGGTACCAACTCCAGACGAAACAGGACGTCGAAAGATTCTTGGCATTCTTTTGGAAAATGATTTAGAGAATAATCTTAGGAAGAAAGAGATAATTGAGTTTGTTGCCAAAAACACGAGGGATTACACAGGTTCGGATTTGACTGAATTATGTAAGGCTGCAGCGTTAATGCCCGTGAAAGAAATGGGCGATAATGGCATTTTGCCCCCTCTTGAGCTTCGCCATTTTACAATGGCACTTACGCGTGTCAGGCCGTCTTTGATGCTGTGAAGAATAATTATCTTAATTATGTTTTTCTCTTGTTGAGCCGATGGGAATGTGTAGGTGGGGGTGGAAATATATGTAAACCTTTTTCTTCTTTTTTTTTTTTTTGGAGGGGGAGACTATGGGAAGATGAAATTGGTACTAGTGTATGTTTTTATTTGTTTACTGTGCTCCGTTAATTTTGTTTATTTGATTGTTTTATTCACCTTGAAGCTTTTTATGGCGTCAGGGAAGGTATTAGCTGATCAGTTTAGAAGGCAGGGAATACGGTATGAAGAGGCGTCCGGAATCCTTTGGTGCTCTTTGTGTACAAATGCTAAAGGATTAGAGATAATTGAAGTGGAGTCGAAAGACAGTGTATTGGAGCATTGCGCCTTAAAACGTCATCTGATTTTTATGGAAAAGCAGTTACCTATGGATCAGTACTGCCCTGTCGAAATCAATGGATGTTACATGCTTCTTGATCATCATTGTGTATATCCCGCGGTCATGTTTGGTAGAGGACGGCTTTTATTGGACGACACTTTGGGTTGTTTAATTCCTGAAGACGTATGTGGAGGTGTGAAGTTGTTTCCACGACACAAGTATACGGTATTAGAGCTTATTATTCCACATAGTACCGTGCCTTTGCCACACAAGCCTGACTACTTTGTGGAGAGAGAGGTTCGTAGTCGAAAATGTCGATTGGGAATGGATATCTGTATTGCTTACTACAATAAATCTGTGGAGGGTGAAACAGCAGTAATGAAGCGACGAAGAACCGTCTTTGGACGCGTGAATATGCAAGGAATATAATTCAACATCACATGGACTTTATGGTTACGGTTGATGTAAATGATATTGTAAATATACCTATTTATGCAATATATAAGTTTCTTTCTGTTATTTTTTGAGGAAAAAATTACGTTTGTGCACTCTCGCTTCTTTTTTTCCTTTTTCTTTTATTTTCTTCTGTTGGGCCTTGGTTTCGAATATTTGGAAAGACAATTTATGAAGCGGTTATGGAATGGAGCCAAACACCTTCTGAATGGCGGAAGTCTTGGCTATTTGGCGGCGGGTGAGCCATATCAGCCGTTTGGTGAGGATTTTGGACTTACCATCTTTCCTGACTACGTCCAATTGGTAGAGAAAATTACACTAAGAAAAGGTTATGTTGATGTTTATACCCAAAAATCTGCATCCATCAGGCTCAGTGATGGTCGTTTCCAGCTTCCGCCTCTACCACCACGTTCCTTTTTGTCTTTAATAAGCCGTATAGAGCAGGATGGAATTGTACCTGATGGATGGCTAAATAACCAAACTGCAAACCTTTATGAACCCGGGGACTTTATACGCGCGCATATAGATAATCTTTTTGTCTACGATGATATCTTTGCGATAGTTTCTCTTGGTTCAAATGCCTTATTACGCTTTGTGCATGTGCAGAATGGGGAAGAGTTGGATGCGGTAGTGCCAGATGGGAGCCTCTACATCATGAGCGGTCCTGCTCGATATGTTTACTTTCACATGGTCCTTCCCGTGGAGGAGCAGCGCTTTAGTATTGTATTTCGACGCTCCATTTTGAATTCAGATGGGGGTTTTCGTCCTGTAACTACACCTTTAGGAGATCTCATGCCTTATCGCTCTACACACATTTTAAATACTTTGTATGCGAAACAGATTGGCGGTGTACGCGTAACCGTGGATGATAATTACCTCGAAAAGGAGGGGATTGGGGCTTTTGACACAGCCAAATGGGTAAAAGGTCTCCATCCTCTGCGGGATTGGTCACTGTTGTCTCAATTAGACGAGGATGAGGCTCGAATACAAGAGCTGAAAGATAAACGGTACCTGGATATAGATCTTAGTTGGAGGTTTGCCGAGTTGAGAAGGCGTTACAAGGAGCTGGAGGAATTGTTGAGCGTTTGATCATTCAACAGCCTTTATTCCTCCACTAGTTGGACGTTGCCATAACCACCAACGACGAAGCGCCTAGTCCCGGCATCCGAAAGGCTTTCTTTCTAGGTTTTCTTCTGTATGCGTCCTATTTTTGTCTATAGGAAAGGTAGTAAACTGAAAGTAGCATAAAAAAAGGAAGGGAAAGAAGGAGTGGTGCCGACCAAATACAAATATACACATCGTCACCGTCCGGAACAGAAAAAAGAAAAAGTCAAAAGGAAATGAAGGAAATGAATCACTCATCTACCACGTTAGAAGGAACTTCTTTGAACGAGCCCCCTACGAAGGTTGCACGTAAGGAAAATGGAATTAAAATGCGCGATGAGCATTTTAAGGAAAACTCCAACAGAGTTACACTCTTTATTCGTTGTGCACAAATTCATGGCCGTGGCGAATTGATGAACGGGTTTTTGGTTGAACACCGAGAAGCTCTAGGTATCCAGCCATGGTATATTGCAAGGGACAATGGTTCTGAAACCGAATCCGCTATGGTACTTTGTCCTGATGCTCCTGTTGAATGTGTCTTTGTGAAAACATCACGAAAACCGTATTTTCTTTTGGAGTGTACGGAGAGCGAAGGGACTGCGAAGGCGTTTGTGGAGAAACTGATAGATTTAAACAATACGACGTACAAGGATAATCCAGTGATTGTGGAAGTAGCGAAGGAGGGTCTTACGGTGTCTGGGGAGCGAAAAAAGCTGGAACTGCGTGACGCCGTCAAAAGAAAGTCGTCTGCATCTGGAAAAACTCCTGCAACAACTTTTACCTCACGACCACCCACTGCGAGTTCGTTTATTCCGCGTGTTTTACGACCAAAATGAAGCAGGAATATCGTGGTGGGTTTGATTGACAGTTGGGTGGCTGTGTCTTTTTTTTTTTTTTGCCTCTCTTAGTTTTGAGGGGGTGGTAAACGATCTTACCAGCTCTTCTTTTGGAGTTTTCTTCCGTAAATTATATATATATGTTTATTTATTTATTCCGCCTATTCGCTCATCTCACACTTTTCTGTTTGGCTGCTTGTGTCTTTTTTGGTTGCCATTTGCAATTGACATAACAAAACAACAAGAACAAAAAGAGGGTTTGTTGTGTCATTCACTCCCTTATTTATTTATGCCTACTTATTCATTTTTTAATTTTAATTCGTAAACATGAACGATAACGAAATTTGAGAGATTAAAATTATTGGTACGGCAGTGATGGATGGAAACACAGTGCTGCTCCGCTGGGAGGAACAGTATTTCTCTCTTTGCGAGATTACTTCAAAATGGCGTGAAGTTCACCTTAGTTTTCTTCAAGACAATGCGCCGTATGATCGAATTCTCTCTCAGCATGAAAATTTGAAGGCGTATCGGGAGAAGGTGCGCAACCTGACTAAAGTCTTTTCACAACTCAATAATGAAGAAAAGCTTAATGAATTTGTGGCGCTTCTTAAAGAATATCAGAGCTATATCGATAAATTGACATCGTATCTAAAAAATACGGAGCGGTCCTACATTGAGTTGTTCAACAGGGTAAAAGATATAACGGATCCATATCCATTCATGGAGAAGTTTTGCGGAGAGATGGAGAGAATGTTGAAGGATGTTGAAAGGATGCATGCGTATAAAGCATTGGAAGAAGAGGTTCATTTACTTCAGACGGAAATGGTAGGTCTCCGGGGTCAGGAAGTTACCAAGGGCAGTCTACGAGGGCAATTTGCGGAGTTTGAGAGGAATGCCATACGGCATGCGGAACAGAGCGCAAAGGATGTGACGGCTGAGTATCAGACACTTCTATCGCAGTCACTGCAGTGGAAGTATGAGCTGCAGAAGGAGGTTCAATCTATTCAGTATGAGATCCATAAGAGAGACAAGATAATAAAGGATTTAAAAAATCACGTGGTGGAGTTGTGTACTTCTGTGGAAGAGGTGGAAGCACAACAAGGCCGTGACATGGCACGGTTTACAATGGAATTGGAGGCCTCTCAAAGCAACCTGCTGAAGAAGGAGGCCGAGCTGCAACGACTCTTGGCGTGTCGAGATCATGATTCGCATGCAAACTGCACAGAGTGTGTCCCCATTGCTGCTCTGGATGCCTCATCACAAGTATTTGTAGATTGTAAAGGCGTCAATGCGAATTCTAATCCCAATGAGGGAAAAAAGATTCCATTCTCTCAGAAGGACGCTGAGCATGACGCGGCAATGTGGGAAGAAGAGAAACTGGAAATGAAACAACAGGAGGAGGCATTACGGAAGGAGTTGTTTGAACTCCGCCTCAAATATGACGAAATATACACAGTAAATGATAATCAACGGCGACAAAAGGAAGAAAGCCCTCAACTAAAAATGGTGCGTACAGGAGAACTTCAACATCGAATCGCGTCACTTAACGTCTATGTGGATCAACTGAATGCTGAGAAGGAACAACTCGCCAGGGCTGTCCAGTCACTTGAGAGAGTACTAAGCAATTATCCCACCAACAGCTCCCTTAGTATTTTAAACGATAAAGCGTCTTCACAGAGGGGTGAAATGGCTTCAACAGAAGTGTCACTTACAAAGGGGGGTGAACGAAAAGAATTGGAATTACCGGAAAAGGATGGCTATAGTTTTGAGAGGCTTCTTGCTTCCGGCGCTATGTGGCAAGGTGGAGTTAACGCATTGGACGAGGAGAATGGGGAGCAGAATAATGCGGTGTCAGCTTCACAACATTCTCTTCCACAAGAGGCCAAGAAGGACCCTTTTCTGATTGTGACATTTCAGCGTGATAAATTACGTGAACGACTCTTGACTCTAAATGAAGTGACGTCGCCACAGCTCCAAAGCTTGGAGTCAGAGGTGGTAAATCTTTTTAGTGAAAAATTTGCGCTCCGTCAGCGCATGGCAGGCTATGCGGGTGGTAATGCCCATCCTGGGAATGACTGTGCGTCTATTTATGGCTTTCCAATGCTGGGAAGCATGGAGAAGGATGATGGGCTTCAGCCAAAAGTGGGGATTCCGTGGCTTGTGGACCCTGTGGCCGGTGTTCTTTCGTGTCGCACGGTATTAAACGTGCTGGACTACGGCGCTGGTGCATTTTCTCTGCATGTGTTTTCCACAACTTTTGGGAGGCGGTTGCTTGTCATGTACATGGCCGTTTTGCACGTGTACCTTGTATATTTATTCTTCCTGTGAGTTTCTTTGGGTGAGGCCTTTGGCTTCCGTTTTGCTTTTCAGTGAACGAAAGTGTGTAGTTGCAAAATTTTAAAATGCCCAGGAGGTAGATTTATGCGAAATTTATTAGTTCTCTTTTTTTAATGCAAATAAAAAAAAAAAAAGGATTAACTTTCAAGATTCAACATGCCCTTTTTTTCTCCTTTTTTCTTCACACACACCAATTGAAGAATAAACACCAAGCATATTATTAATAAAGGGGTTTCTGGGTTGCATTTTCAGGAAGGTGCGTTCCTCTCTCTTTGTGTGTGGATGTGTATAAACTCCCTGACGCAATAAGTTTATTTATTATTATTATTATTTTTTTTTTGAGCCACCTTTCTATTTACTATTGCCTTTTTTTTTTTTTCCGCTTTACAATCTTCAATGCGACATTCAACGTACGTCGAGGTTTTTTTGCGTAATATTGCCTATAATGTCGAATGTATTCGCCGTATCGCTGGAAAGGCGGAACTTATTCCTATGGTGAAGGGCAATGCGTACGGACACGGCATGGGGAGAGTTTCTGAATATCTACACAATGCGTGTGGGGTACATAAATTTGGTGTGGCCTCACTTGGCGAGGCGCTTGAACTCATTGAAAGTCAACCTTCCATAGCGGAGAAGGCACAGAATGAGATCTTTGTCTTCTCCGATACCGAGGTGTTGAATGAGGGTTGTCAGAGTTATTACCAACCGTGTGGGCGGTGGGCGGTGCGACTCACGCCAATTTTGGGAACACTTCCACAACTCAAGGCGTTTTGCGCCTCCAATGCGTTCAACAACTCCAAGTTATGCTTAAAGCTTGAAACCGGCATGAATCGCTTGGGTCTACGCTTTGACGAGTTGGAGGAAGCCGTACCAATTTTGAAGCAACGGGGCGGGGTTGATCTCCTTCTTCAACATTTTGGCATTGCGGGTTCGGTGGAGCGTCTTGCAGAGACACTCAACCACTACGAGGCATTTAAAAAGGCAAAGAAGTTTCTGCACGATAGTGGTGTGGAGGTTCGGGCCACGTCGGTAAGTAATTCGGGTGCTGTGGAACAACGGATTGGACTGGAGGAGACGTACATACGCCCGGGAATTATGCTGTACGGCCCACGCAGTGTCACCAGCAAGAATTTATGGAATGGGAAGTTTGCTAGTTGCTTCTACACTAAAGTATTGCACCACTTTCCTTTAAGAAAGGGTGAAGGTGTGGGTTACGATTTGACTCCTGTAAAAGCGGATAGCGTTATTGTGATGCTGCCGATTGGTTACGCGGATGGCTTTTTATGCACATACAAGGGGATGCCTATCAACGTGACGCCTGAAGACGCTGCTGAACCCATCATTGGGACTGTGCACGGTCGTATTAATATGGACATGGCGGCAGTCGTGGTTTACCCAGAAGAGGTTGGTAAAAATATTGGTAACATCATGGCTGCAGTGAAGAAGGAATCACGCATCCGTGTCTGGGGAGATGACATTGAGGAAAAGGCAGTATCTGTGGGGGCAATTCCGCACCAACTTACCTGTGGGCTCTCTATTCGTGTTCCAAGAATATACATGTAGCGATACAAATATTATCTGTACCAAATTTTCCTTTTTTTTTTTTTTTTTTTTTGAGGGTTTCTTATTATTATTATTATCATTATCAGTGTCATACATATATATCTATATATATTTTCGATCTTTTTAGTTATGTGCGAATTTATTTTCTACTCGTTTTTGTATATATATATATATATATATATATATTTCTTTTATTATTATTATTATTATTATTATTTTATTTTATTTTTTCATTGTTGGCTTGATTTTTTTATTTGGGTACATATAAATACATACATGTATATATATATATATATATATATATATATATCTTTATTCATTATTATATCGCTATGGGAACTGAAAAAAAGAAAAAAAAAAAAAAAAAGAAGACGGGAGGAGAAATAACAACAAACAAACAAAAACAAATAAAGTGGTGGAAAGGCCTGAAGACTGCGGGAAGTGATTGTTTTGAGGTATATTGGTCAATTCTATTTTTCTTTTTTTTTTTCTTGCTTTTCATTCATTCATTTTATATATATTTATATTTGTAATGTACACAAGCAACGCGAATCATTGATTCGTTTCACAAGCATCCGTATTTACACCATCCATAAAAAAAGAATTGAAGGAAAGGAAAAACAAGCAGCATTCTACATAAAAAAAGAATATATATATATATATATATATTTATTTATTTATATACATCTATTATTTATTTATTTATTTATTTATTTATTATTATTATTATTATGGCGCTTCGTCGCATTCAAAAAGAATTGAAGGATCTTGAGCGCGATCCACCGGCGAACACCAGCGGTGGCCCCATCAGCGAAAGTGATTTGTTTAACTGGAAGGCGACTATTATAGGGCCGGAGGATTCACCATATGCCGGTGGGCTTTTCTTTCTTAACATTCACTTCCCTTCCGATTACCCTTTCAAGCCACCTAAACTGCAGTTTACAACGCGGATTTACCACCCGAACATCAACAACAACGGCGGTATATGTCTTGATATCTTGAAGGATCAATGGTCGCCTGCCCTCACCATTTCAAAGGTGTTACTCTCCGTTTGTTCATTACTAACAGACCCGAACCCAGATGATCCACTTGTCCCCGATATTGCCCGACAGTACAAGTCGGACCGCAACGCATTTAACAAAACAGCGATGGAGTGGACAAGACAATACGCCATGTAGAACAAACAAAAAAAACAAAACAAAACAAAAACAAAAACAAAACAAAAAAAATAAAAAGAAAGGGAGGCACACAAGGCGTATAACCCTGAAATAAAATGGTATGATTTTTATCTCCATGGGTGCTGATATATATATTGTTCTCTCAGCATCATATGGGGTTACGTTTGTTGGTTTGGCTGTATGTTTAATTGCGTATCTTTGCGTCTCTCTCTCTCTCTCTCTCTCTTTCTCTCTCTTTGTGTGTGTAAACGGGAGCATGGGAGCCGGGCCGGGCCGGCGACGAGGACTCAGGAATGGAAAGGAA